CTGTTGTCTCTCGTTGTCTCTCTACCTGTCTGTCTTTCTACCTGCAGATGTGTCTCCTGTCCTTTGAGACAGACATGGAGAAGGCATTTGCAGCTCAGCGCAGTCAGGACAAGGTAAGTGTCTGAGGACCGGCGTTGTGGCGGCAGAGACATTAACTGTTGTTGAGTTGTTTATTGTGGTTGTTTGTTGTCCTCGGTGGTCAGGTGTGTTCCATCTGTATGGAGGTGGTAGTGCAGAAGGCGAACCCGTCAGAACGCAGGTTTGGGATTCTGTCGTCCTGCTGTCACACCTTCTGTCTGACTTGCATCAGGAAGTGGCGCTGCACCAGAAATTTCAGCAACGTCATCATCAAGTAAGAATCCAGATCTAAGCCCAGACCCTGGTTCAGAGTCTGAGTCAGGGTCAGTCTGGAACAGGTCTGGTCTCAGGTCTCTGGTCTAATGTCTCTTTGTCTCAGGTCGTGTCCAGAGTGTCGGGTGGTCTCAGAGTTCGTCATCCCATCAGTTTACTGGGTGGAGGACCAGGAGGACAAAGACCACCTCATAGACCTCTTCAAGTCTGGAGTCAGGTGAGTTCAGGAGTTTCATTAAAAACTTTGAGGTCAACCGATATAATAACTATTATTATTGTTATTAATGGTATTAATGTCTTATTACATTTAAATGAATCTCTGTGACATCATGTGACGTCTGAAAAGTCTAACCCACTTTGATTTGAACATTATAAATCAAGATGTTCAGATGTCGACCTTTGACCTGTGCTTCCTGTCTGTCCGCAGTAAGAAGGCCTGTAAGTACTTCGATCAGGGCCGTGGCTCCTGTCCATTTGGCGGGAAGTGTTTGTATCTTCACGCCTTCCGTGACGGAACCAGAGCGGAACCCGAGCAGCCGCGGAAACAGCTGAGCTCCGAGGGGAACGTCCGGGTCAGACACCACAGCTGCCATTTTGAGTTGTAGTCCATCGGCTCGGTGCTCCTGGGTTTTGTAGTTCATGAACATGTTTGTGTTTGTTTTCTCAGTTCATGAACAGCGTCCGTCTGTGGGACTTCATCGAGGAGCGTGAGCAGCGGTCGGTCCCGCCTCTGCCGTCCCTTGATGATGACATCACAGAGCTGCGGGAGCTCTTCATGCAGATGTCGGGTCCGAGTCACGAGGGGCCCGAGACCCCACCCCCTACAGACCAGTAGAGAGCAGACTGGTCTGCATTGAGTCCTCGGGTCGCCGTGGTAACCATCTGAGGGCGGTTCGACGGCCATGTTTAGTCATTGAAATATTAAATGATGTGATCCAGTCTGTGTCAATCATGATTGATTCTTTTATTTAACATGTAAATAAGTGAATACAGAACAAGTGACATGATCAAGTGGCGTTGTTCTTTTAGACACACACACACACACACACACACACACACACACACAAACAAACATGAGAACATGAGCATGATGGTCACATGATGGTCACATGATGAAAACCATCCACAACCAGCTCTCAGTGGTGTGATGTTTCCATCTAGTGGCCAAACACATGAACAGCTGTTAGCGGTGGGACGACTGGGGCAACAGCAGTTATGAGGGTAACTATGGTTCTGTGAATTTAAAGTCAGCGTGAATGTTGCTGTAAACTTTTCCACTGATGGCCCTCAGCCGGCGCCTTGTGACTTCTTTGGGGGGGTTTAAGGTGCTTTGAGCGAGGTGGGTCATGAGTGACACATCCTGGAACTCTGAGCCGAGGGTCCCACGCCTCTACCCTGAGGCCCCAGACCTCGGACTGCCTTAACTGCTCCATGTCCTTCAATACTTTTTCTGCTGCAGCCGAAACAACTGGCCTGACACATCAAACCAAGACCGAGTGCTGCTTCATTCACCTTCATGCCTTTGTCACAAGTGAGACTGGGTGAGGAGGAGCACTCAAAGAGTTATCAGTGTGGGACATTCAGCAGAGGAAGCTATCAGTGACCCTGCGCTGCGGCCTGTGACCTCAGGCTTTCATTGCCTCATCCAGTTAAGGGAGCGGTGAGGCTGTACCTCTCCAGGAGGGCCCAGCGACGGGCAGGCTCCCTCTCCCAGCTCTGTGCTCTCCTGGGAGAAGTCTCCCAGCCATCCTTAGCCTCCAGCTAACAGGCTCCTGCAGTTAAGGGTGATGCCAATTGCATTGTTGCCTGTAGTCATCTGCCGTCTCTGACTCCTGCAGCTCAGACCTGGAGAACCTGACTTCCTGCTCGCTCTCTTCATGTCACCTCTAATTACATTAATCCAATCAGAACCATTAACTCCTCACAGCTGAGAGCAGGAAGTCAGGAGCAGGCGTCCTCCCCCTCATCCCCTCACAAACACTCAGAGTCCCAGCTCGACTCTCAGCTCGACTCTCGTTGGTTGTGCTCTGGATGAAGCTGGCAGGGCGACCTCTTCACTGGGTGGGTTAACACACCCCAGCGACCGGGCTGCCAGGCAGAGGGGGCAGGACGAGCAGGAGTAGAGGCTGCTGGGAAAAAAGGAGACGACGTGCTGGTGAAGAAAGAAAGAGAAGAAGAGAAGAGGACTTTGAACCTGCCACACACACACACACACAACTGAGAATGGGAGCCACATATGGAAAGAAGGTGAGTCCACCAAGAGATGTAAAGTTTCATGGTAGACTGGGACCTGTGTAATTCCTGACATGTAGATTGGACTAACCTAGAAGAATGTGAATCCACTGACAAATATTTGAGCTGCAGCAACACACCTGCTGATGAGGGTGTGTTAGGGTGTGCTTGTTGTCATGGCGGCCAACAGCTGACTACAGGCTTGAGGGTATCTGTGATAACCCCCCCCAGATGACTCTATTTGAAGAACAGCAGGTGGTGGTGGGGGACTTATCGTTCATAAACAGCTGTCTGTAACATGTAATAGGTGTGCGTGTGTGTGTGTGCGTGTGTGTGTTGACGTCTGACAGATGCTGAAACTTGAATCTATTAATTCAAGAAACATTCTGTGTGGAGCACAAATGTATCTAGAGAATGAGCCACAGAACACGTGTTCAAAGTGAAAGTTGTGGCAGCTCATTGTTGAAAAAGAGACCATGTGAGAATCCAGTGCATGATGTCACCTCTCTGGCAGGATCACAGAGGATCCCAAAATAAAAGTCTCAGATTACTCAGTCAACTTACACGAGCTCTACTTCGGTTCGTTTAATTGGAACCAACGTCAAGGTGAATTGCTGCCATCCACCGGATCTGCCTCTTCTCCCTCTGGTTCACTAACCAGCAGCTTTGTCTTGTGAAATCATAGTTTCTTATGAATGACCTTTGTATTTGTTTTTAAAAAATCTAATCCAAACAATCAATTTGTTGCTCATTGAAATACAACGGACAGGAAATGATGCCAATGCTCAAAGGAGTGTTGACTAATTTCAGTGGAGTCAACCCTCCTTCGATCAGAGCGATTACATCATGACCGATGTACTGAACTTTACTTAGTTGAACAAAGAAGAAGAGCTCGTATTTATTATAACAATGATACCGAGAAACACCCGGGACATTCTGCAGGCAGACATGAGCTGTGGATGTCAGCCAAGTAACAAGGTGCTGAAGAATAATAGAAATGCTTCTGTGCTTATTCCCTGTGACATAATTTTAACATGTGATTTCTAAATGTAGATTCTGTGTCGAGGATGTGTTTCTCTTTAAGGTATAATGTTAGTTCTTAGATTAAATCTGGATTAAATGTTGGTTCGTTTCTTTCGTTCGTCACTGAGTTTCTGTTTCTTTGAGTCTTTAATCAAAAACACAATCAGAGAAGTGAACCACAGTTTTTTGATTTTTGTGCCTTTAGCTCATTCGATGACTCTGAGGTTTTCTCATGGAGATTTTCGGGTGCACGTGTCAGACTGAGTGACGGAGCAGCCGTCGTTCACGTGTTCACGTGTGTTCAAGTCCCCGTTGGTTATCTGGGATTTAGCAGATATGTGTGTTGCAGAAGAGTTTGAACTGTGTCATATTGTTTAGTGTCGTGGAATGATCGTCTGTGAGTCGTCAGCTGGACAGACGTCGACCTGAGGCAGACACAAAGTCTGACGTCAGTGAGCGAGTCACAGTCGAGTCTTCAACCTGAGCTTTAACATAGATGGATAGATAGATAGATAGATAGATAGATAGATAGATAGATAGATAGATAGATAGATAGATAGATAGATAGATAGATGATAGATAGATAGATAGATAGA